CCCTCTAACACCAACTGAAGAAACGCTCAGAACAATCTCTTAAAAAAAAAAAAAAAAAAGTCATTTAGTTAAAAAAGAAAAAAAAAAAGATGGGGGGTGACTACAGATTAGACTCTAGATGGGTGGCTATATAGAAAGAGGGGCAGACAAGTGATAAAGTAAGTACAGCTTAATTTTGCCGAATGTTTGAGATTTTCATAAAAAAAAAAAAAATACTGCGGGAGAAAAGAGGCACCCAAACTACTAAGCAAATGCAATATGTAGGATACCAATTGTAGCAAATGAACTGTAAAATTAAATCATTAGATTTTAACAGTGGGGGTGGGGGGTGGGGGGTGGGGGTGATAATAGTATGGTGGTTTTGGTTTTTCAAAAGAGCTCTTATTTGGCCAAAAAAGAAAGGATTATACAATTGATTACATAAAAATAGAAGACTGCAAAAAGGAAAGAAATTTCAACCCACTATCTAAACCATCATCTTATCTCACACCAAATCATCTTGTCTATGACATTCTGACTTACTGAAATCCTCCCTTCTCTTTACAATTCTTTAGTGTAACAGACCTCTGATCTTAATTAAGGAAAACCACTCTTGGGGCACCTGGGTGGCTCAGACGGTTAAGTGTCCGCCTTCAGCTCAGGTCATAATCCCAGAGTCCTGGGATGGAGTTCCGCATGGGGCTCCCCGCTCAGCAGGGAGCCTGCTTCTCCCTCTCCCTCTATTGCTCCCCCTGCTTGTGTTCTTTCACTCTCTCTCTCAAATAAATAAGTAAAATCTTAAAAAAACAAAAACAAAAACCTTTTTTTTTTTTTTAGGATCCTACACTGGTTCCCAAGGGTCACCCCTTCTTTAGGTATGTGCTTACACTCCACTGTAAATAAATCTCTTTGCAACTGAAAGCGTTCTTATTAATAAGTACCTACTACAGTATTCAGTGTGGGGGAAAAAAATAGGTTGGGGTGTAGCTCAAACAAGATCATTCTTGAGTTCATAATCACTGACGCTGATTAATGGATACATGGGATTCATTGTTCTGCTTTTCTGAGGTTGTGGAAATTTTTCATAATATTCATTTCTTTTTCTTTAAACTGCCTGGATGGGTTCTTTGTTTTTACATGAACCAACTCCATCACAGCCAGCCACACTCTGGGGTTCCCCTGCTCCATCCTGACCGAATCTAAGCCGGATGTGTTTGAGAGCAAATGTGCAAACAGGGGCACTTCCCCGCTGGGCAGGTGGTGGGAGCAGCCTCCCCAGAGAAGAGGGGGCAGGGGCCCCTCAACCTGAGCATCTCCTGACTCTTCACTCCCACCAGACCCCACAGAGGACACTCCCCCAGGGAGTCCTCCCCTCTGGCCCCCTGAACTGAAAAACATGGCCTGGGAGTGGTTTTAGCTTCTGTAGGAAACCCTGCAGATACAAGCTGGGCTCAGGGCCTCCGTTTGCAAAATGGGGTTCAACTGGGGCTTAGCTCCCCGCCTCAATATGTTCCCTCTCCTCTCCTCAAATATGTAACTGTTGAAGCTTCTGGTCACTGACTCTAAGAGTCTAACAGGCCATGTAGTACAATAAGAATCTCCCTTCAGGATTGAAGGGGTCAGTGCTACACCGCTGCAAAAAACTCAGTTCCTCGAGTGATCAAGGAACCATGAGGAGAGAATCAATATAGCAGACAATGCAAAAAGTGCTCTATGCATAGGTTTAGGAGTCATTTATTTTCCTTCCTTGTGTGTGTGTGTGCCTGTGTGTGCTGAGATAGTGTATCCAGATTTAACAGTGGGAGAAAAATCATTTGCAGAACCAAACTCAAAAGTTGGCGGGAGAGACTCCACTGCTCCCCTGAGTCTCCCTCCTTGTGCCAGGCAGTCCCCACAGTGAAGCCAAGCCAGGTGCCTCATGCCCCGCCCCCACGTTCACTAGTGGTAGACCTGGTGGCAGGAACGGAGGCTTGTATACAGGCTCTGCCACATACACATTACATGACCTCTTTGGGCCTTGGTGTCCCGACATCTAAAATGGAAACAATAAGTCCTGCTCTCCCTACAAGGTTGTTTACAAGAATTAAAAAAAAAAAAATAGGGAAAGCATTTTATAACCATACAATACCATTTATAAACTGTATCATATCAGTGTTTCCCAATATTGCTTCATAGAATATGGTCAAGGCAAGTTTGAGAAATGTGCTACTTATACTCTAACCTTGGCTTGTACATCATAGGCAAGTGAACATATTAAAGGCGCTGAAGGACTGCCTGGGTGGCTCAGTTTGGGTTGTGATTGCAGGGACCTGGGATTAAGCCCCACACTGGGCTCCCTGCTTTGTGGGGAGTCTGCTTCTCCTTCTCCCTCTGCCCCTTCTTAAGATCATGCTCTCTCTCTCTCTCACTCATTCTCTCTCAAATAGGTAACTAAAATCTTTGTTAAAAAAAATTAAATAAAGGGGCACCCGGGTGGCTCAATTGTTAAGCGTCTGCCTTCAGCTCAGGTCATGATCCCAGAGTCCTGGGATCGAGCCCCATTATCAGGCTCCCTGCTCTGCCCAAAGCCTGCTTCTCCCTCTCCCCCTTCCCCTGATTGTATTCCCTCTCTCACTGTCTCTCTCTCTCAGTCAAATAAACAAATAAATCTTTTTTAAAATAAATAAGTAAATAAAAATAAAGGCTCTGAAAAGTCCTGCAGTTAAAAAAAAAGTCTGTTTAATACTCTTGAATCTATTAGGTCCAGTTTCTTTACTTTTTGGCCTCCCTAAGTTCTTTCTTCTTGGAATACCAATTAACTATGTAATCTCCTTGAGACCTCTAAAAAGCAGTTTAGGAAATGCAGACCCATATGAAGTTGAGGAGGTCAAGTTCCTGTGTTGGCCCAGCCTGTTTCTCTGTGCAGCCAACCTTACTCAGATTCTTAACTCACCCAGGCCCCAGTGCTCTTTGTATGGGTCCATTTCCTTTCCACACTCAGAAGCCCCACACCACTACATCGCTCCTCACCGGCATGCTCAGCCTGATCTCAAAGCCCCAAACTGTCTGTCTGTCTGTCTCTGTCACTAGCCCCCTCAGCATCTTTCTATCCTTCTCCTCATTGGGCAAACACACTTTGCCCTTCCCAACCCCAGCCTGAGGCCAGCACACATTCTGCTGCTTCCCCAAAATTCCTTTTCCTCTGAGCTCCACCATCTACCACACAATTGCCCTCTAGTGACCTCGCTGCTTCCCCATCCCTTTTGGCAACTCCTCCCACTGGGACTTTGTGCTACACATCATTAAGAGGTTACAGTGCCAGTGGTTAAAAGGATATACTCAGAAGCCTGGATTCGAATCCTGCTTCTACCACTTATTGACTAGATGATCAAGTTATTTAACTTCTCAGAGCCTCTGTCTCCATTATCTGTAAGTGAGGCAAACAAGAGTGCCTTCTTCATGGGGTTGTTGGGAAGAATTAATGAGTTGACTGAAATGCTTAGTAGGACAGTGCCTGGCACACAGTGAGTGCTGGGTAAGTGTTAGCTATGACTACTACTACTATTATTATTATTCCACAGGCTGGGCAGTCTTTAAACCTCTTCATATCTGCATTCATTGACTCCCTGATTCCTTCCACAAGGCTCTAAAGTGGTGGTGCACGAAGAGGGCAGGGGGAGGGCGCTCCAGCCTGAGCTGTGGGCACCAGGAACAGGATTTGAGGCTGGAGACTGGGGCGGGGTATTACCCCCTGACTGCCACATCGGGGTGCTTTCCCGCCCCAGAGTAAGAGCCCAGCCCAGCCAAACCAGCCCTACTGCCAAAGTCACCGAGTGCCAGGGCTAGATGGGTCCCGAGCCCGACCGCAGATGAGGAAACTGAGGCTTAGCCGGCCTCTTCCCCACTGCACCACCCCACCCTGGCACTCTCGCCAACGCAGCCCTGTCTGCTGTGGACAGAGCACTGTTGTCAACTGGACTCGGAGGTTGGGGCAGGAGGTGAGGCCAAGAAGAGAGACAGACAGCCTTCACCTGAAGGAGTTTAGGGACCGGGTGCGGGGTGGAGGGACGGCGTTAGGAGTCCAGCTCTTGCTCAGAGCTGATCCGTGCAGATACCACCATTTCACAGCAGGCGGAGCTGCCCACATGATCCCAAAGGGCAGGGAGCGAGAGCCGTTTCTCTCTCTCCCCCAAAGCGCCCAAACCTGCATGTGGTTTTTCTCCTGCGGCGTAAGAACCTTCCTCGTTACTCTGGTTGCTCCTAAAACCAGCACTACAGGAAGGGTAATACCGAAGGCGGCCGTCGCGCCCGGGGAGCAGTCGGGCCCGCTTCCTGGAGGAGGCGGCGCGCTTTGCGCGCAGGGCGCTCGGGAGCCAGCCTCCTCCCTCACTCACCGGTGTCCAGCGAGGTGATCGCGGCGCTCGGGCTGGTTCGCCGGTTGCCTCCGCCGCCGGGCACAACGAGCGTCTGCAGCTGCCGGACCAGCTCGGGCATGCGGTCCCAGTGGCCCTCGGCGCGGCAGCGCTCCAGCTCGCTCTCCACCTTCAGGTGGGAGCCGTGCGCGCCCTTCGCAGCCATCTTCGCGCGGGCGCTGTCATGGGAGGCGCGGCCGAGAAGTGGAGACCCGGCCGGGGGCGGCGTCCCGGCTGGGGCGCACACGCGGGCGGGGACGGCGGGGGCGCGGGAGGCGGCCGGGGCCCAGGCGGCAGCGGGGGCCCTGGCGGCGGCCGGCGGGCGGTGGCAGCAGCAGCAGCACCCAGCGCACCGCCCGGTGCCTCCGGGCTGGGGCTCCGGCTGCGCGGCCCGGACGCGTCCAGGAGCAGCCTCCGCCTCCGCTGCAGCAGCTCCTGGCGCTGCTGCCGCCGCCGCTGCTGCAGCTGCTGCCACAGCCCCCGCCCCGGGCCCGGGCGCCGCCAGCTGCGGACCCGCCCCTGGCCGCTGCTCCACCTCCGCGGGGGCGTGGCGCGGCCTCGGCGAGCCGGGCGCGCCGGCGGCCAGCGCGGCCACAGCAGCCAGGCGCGCGACGAGCGCTCGCGGCCGCCCCGCCGCCAGCGCCAGGCCCCCGCCGCCGCCGACTCGGCGCTCACTTTAATACTGCGCGGGGCCCCGGCGCCCAGGGGCGCCTCGCTCCCCGCCCCCTCCCCATCCCATCGGGGCCCTTGGCCTGGGGACCCCCGCCCCGGCTTTGTGTGGTGGCCTCGTCACCGGCGCTGCCCCTGGCACGTCACAAATCCGGCCGGCCCGTCGCCCCCGCCTGCGAGAGTGAGCCTCCCCGGGAGCTGGCCTTGCTGGGACGCGCTGCCCTGCGCGCCACCTCCGCTCCCCTCCGGGTTCCCGGGGATGCTCCCGCTGGAGACGCGGGCAGAGCGCAACAGGCGGTTCGGAGTTCGTCGACTCTCTGGGTGTCTACACTCTGAGAGACTTTTCATTTTCTTTTTTAACAGCGGAGTTCCTCTTTCCAACCTGATTACCCCGCACGACCTGGCTGGCCTGTCCTCTGCGGACTCCCGTTACCCTGGAGTTCTTAAAGGCGTTAAGCTGTTTTCCAGCTTGGTATTTCTTTCTTAATTCTGCTCTGTGATCAAAACTCGCGGCAGGGCTTAGCCTGGCGCCCGTGGGGTACTAAGGAGTTCGAGGGATTACAGGGTGGCCTGAAGGAGAAGGGACTGGTTAGGAGGGGCCCGCCTCCGGGGCTGCTTGCCGTACAGTGTGAGGATTGAGGCCATGATGCAAGAAATCACAGCGACACCAAAAAGCTCCCTGTATGTAAGTGACAGACATATTGCATAGTGCAGACCGAAGACTCCAAAGTGAAAGTCAGGGCAAGCTTTTAAGTATAGTACAGACTCGTCTAAGAGTTAGGAGTCCACCTTCCCGCTGAAGGTGGAGAGCTTCGCCACTCTCTGACGCATGACCCCGGGAGTAGGCTTGACCACTTTTGGTGTCAGGAGACTCCAATATTTCGCACTTCAGGACTTCTCTAACTGTGGTAAGGTTTCTGTCCAGCAGATCCCAGGGTCCTGGCGATTTAGTCATCCCCTCAGCTCTTTGCTATCTAGGATTACCTGTTGAAGGCCAATCTTCTGCTCCCCACCCCAAAGCCCTGTTGGTTGGACACCCTCCAATCCAGGTTCCAAATGCAGCTCCATTCCTTGCTGGGGCACAGCGTTTTCTGACTTAACTGCTGCTCTGAGCACCTGGAGTCTGTTCTGAACGCCCAGGGGCCCGAAAATAGACAAAGGAAAACAGGGACAGCCCTAGCAGTTGGAATTTAGGGCTGGTTTACTCCATTTACACAAACACCATGCCTATTTCTGTCAACTCCTCTAACTGGCATCTGGTTAGCCTTTGGCTGCCCTTTCTTGTCACCAGAACCAGCTTTCCGTTGGAGAGAGCTGTGCATGTCCTTTGGATGAGGGTACCCTAAGAATACCCTGCCTCAGTTCTGACATGCCCCAGAGTCAGCCCTGGGGCAGGCAGGGGACAGCAGAGTTGAGGAGGGGAAAGCAACCCTGATAGAAATAAGCAAACCTCCCCTCCTCCCTTTTTTCTCCCTCTTCCTTTGCCAACCCTGCTCCCAGGTTGCAGGACTCTGAGAAACTAACTGAAGAATTGCGGCTTTTTCCTTTGATTCATGCACCAAGATTTGTGTGAGTATGGGGCATGGGAGAGAGGAACACAATATCATGGTTAGATCTTCCAATGAGCTGGTCCTCAACAGTGCAGTCACATTTCTGGTCCCTTTGTAGTTCTTTTCCAGCAGAGATAAGCCCCCAGCCTGCTAGTGACCAGCATTTTTCAGGGGCGTAGAGCCTGTAGGAATGAGAGCAAAGAGCAACCATGATTGTATTAGTAATATTAGCCAAAATACAAGGCATGTGAAAAGTGTGGTGCTAGTTTTTATTTTTTAATAATCTGAAATCTCTCGGATGAGAGTTTGGGACAAATTCTGATAAAGATTGTCGTGCTTTGTGAGCTGCAAAATGGCTACCAAAATAACTTGTTGATCAGGAGAAGCTGGGTTGATTGCTTAACAGAGTGACTGACTGATAGTCTTAGCACAGCTAAGACTGCCTGACAGTCTTAGCACCTCGGAGAAAGTCTTGGAGTTCACAGGAGGTAAATCGACTTACCAAGAAACGTGTAACTAATTTTAGGAAGCAATGAAGATGGTAGTGAATGAAGGACCAGCCAAGCTGACAAAAGACTCTACTAGTTCAGATGCTACCCCTCAACAAGGTGGGGAGGCTCTTGCCACTGGATCACAAGAGAAGCGGGTCTCGATTCTAACGAAGTTAAGGGCTTGGAGAGATCTCTCTCATGTGCTTATAGGTTGAAGGTTTATGACATTTAGGCCCAGAATGGGAGGGTACTGAAGAGCTAATCTGAATTCAGAAAATGTCTGTTTATGTTCGGGTTCCCAGGGAAAAGGTTTGGTTAGCAAGGACGTGAGTAGGTCAAATTAATGGAGTGCCCTTTTCAGAGAAGTTAGGAATGTTCTGCCTGCAGTGGCCTAAGGAGCCTCATAATTGTCTTTGTTATTGGCCAGACACACTTTGCACAGCTCATTGTCTGGAGTAAGGGATTTTCCTCCATGGGATGTCTTGTCTTGTAAACTGAGTAAACTGAGGCATAGTGGTCTCCCAGGTACTATTGTTGATTTTCCCTAGTGAAGACAAGTATTAACTTTTGTGATTTAAAGAGACACCAAAGAGGGGCACCTGGCTGGCTTGGTGGGTGGAGTGTGAGACTCTTGATCTTGGGGTTGTGAGTTCAAGCCTCATGTTGAGTGTAGAGATTACTTAAAAAATAATTTTTTTTAAAAATAAAATGTTTAAAAAGATAAAGAGACAGGATGCCTGGGTGGCTCAGTGGGTTAAGCCTCTTTGGCTCAGGTCATGATCTCAGGGTCTTGGGATTGAGCCCCACATCTGGCTTTCTGCCCAGCAGGAAGCCTGCTTCCCCCTCTCCCTCTGCCTGCCTCTCTGCCTACTTGTGATCTCTCTCTCTCTCTCTGTCAAATAAATACATTAAATTAAAAAATAAAGAGACACCAAAGAAAGTACGACACAAATCTACAACTGTAAAACACATATCTCTGTAGTCCCTGAAGATAGAATATTATTTGAGTTTGATCCTAGCCCTGGGGTCCTAAATGAATCTATCTTCCTGTCCACTGGGTTTTTCAACTGAGAGGATAAGAGTGTCACGAAGACTGGAACAAGGTATGAGACTCCTTTCTCTTTATGGCTTTTGGTTATTAGTTTTATCCCTTCTTTTCTCACCTTGTTTTAGAGGCTATTATGCAAGTTTGGGTAGAGATTAACCTTGATGGGTTTAGCTCCAGTAGAATATCATAATTTTTACTGATAAAAGAGCTTTAATCTGCTTGATTTACACACAGAAGTACTGATAAATCATTAACTGAATGAGCCAGGATCTTATTATGAATAGGGCCGTCCTCTGGGACCAGACCAGAAGGAAGAGACCATCGGGGGAAATATTTAATATGGCAGTTCCATTCACACAGTAAATCCCTTGCTATTAAGTTAATGAGTATGGTGTTCCTTGGTTAAAGGTTTGAGGCTGATGGTTATGGGGCAGGCGGGCCTGGGGAAGGTATGGTGAGGATAAATGTGTGACTGGAGTAGTTTGAAGACTGCAAGGAAAAGGTGGTGTAGTAGTGGTCAGGCTTAAGATTGGTATTTTTGTGTCCATATCAGTAAAACATCTGTAAGGTTTCCTTTAATTTTCAGAGAAAGGTTTCCTTGTGGGTTTAAGAGTAGAGAAACTGAACACCTTCACTGATACCTCCATTGTTCATTTCTTAGTTTTAGAACTCTTTCAAAATATTCAGCAGGGTTTTGGAGGTCTGGCCACGGGGCTCTTTCCCATTCTAGTTTTTGCTTACATGTTAACGCTCCTCTATTTCTGGTTCAAGTGCATTCGCAAAAGGATAAGAGAGCAACCAGGATCACGTCTGCTCCAGGATCAACTCCTGCGTGCTGTCTATAGGTATTAACCTATCCCTGAGGTCTCCATCACACGTCCCCTTTTTTGGCTTGAACAACTGAATCAGAGCACAGTCTATTTTCCCAGGAAAGACAGAGGATAGCCTCCAAAAGAGCCTGAGAACTCTATAGCTTTTCTAAACCCCTTCGGTTCCCTGTGCACTTGAAGGCCTTTTTAGTCACCACTAGGGATCTTCCCATTCTGATTTTTTCATTGAACTTCTTCCATCTAAGGGTCATACTCACATAGGAGTTACCTGAAATATATGTGGCTGCTCTGGGCTATACGTTCCTCAAATTATTCTAAATTCCTCTGCAATGTTTCTCTCTTGTTTAGGCCCTGCATAGTCTCTGGCAATGGCTTTCAGCTGAGAATGAAATCAGAGCTTAGAATCCACCATCCAACAGTTTTCTCTGTTCCACTGGAGGTTTACTTTAAAGAGGTAAGTGAGCTTTGGGGTACCTGGCTGGCCAGGAAGGAGGGAGAGTGGGTCAGAGGAAGAGTTAGAGGGGTAGCAAGAGATGGAAGGGCACAGCATGGGGGAAGAGGATAGTAGGCTTGAGTTGGGGTTTGGGGGGAAAACAAAAGATTTAACTTGTTCATATTTTTCTTTTGCTTTGGCCAAGCAATCCGTTGAGGAAGTAATGTTGCAATCCAGTTTCTTTTAGATGCTTCCTTATGCTGATAAAAAATAATGAAGACCGTTAGGTGCTTGGAATTACATTGCCTTTACATTCTAAGGCACCTCCCAAGTAAATAACTTTGTTCATATTGAAACTTCCTCGTGGTGGCCACTGTAATTCTAAATTATCCTAGGTGAAATGATGTTATTTGGAAAGACAAGTGCACAAATTTGGGTGTAGCATAAATACATGTAAGAAGCAGAAGTCTGGCCCGAGGAAGGCATGGGCTGAGTTTTCTACTGAGACAGAGCCATGAGAACCTGGCAATGGTCAGTCAAGACTTACTTGTGTATCCTGTGAGCCACAGGATACACAAGTAAGTATCCTCAACCTCACACTAGGCCTTCTCCAACTGGGGCTCTGATGAATTTATACTTCCTAGCAGATAGAATATGTGGGGAGTTCTTTGCTGAACCTCAAAACAGTCTGAAGAAAGTTCTCATAAATGGCCCAAGACAAAATTTGTCCCTGGGCCACGTTAGGGACATACTTATTGGGATTCATATCTGTTCTTGCCCCTGTCACCCTGCCTCTTACAGAGGCATAATCAAAAATGAGCAGGATGGAAATAGACAAGGAGTCATGTTGTTTGTAATAAGGCAGAGATCGACTGCGAAGAAAAGATTTTCCAATATGCTCAAATGATTGAAGGATTCCTGAAAGGGTTTCCCTGTTACTGGAGACAAATAGACCCTGTATTTGGGGAGCTCGGGCCCAAGACAAGACTTACATCTCTCGCTGGCGTGGTCTATAAAAGACCCCTGAGGGGCTTGAGGGCCTGAGAGGAGCACCCTTTCTGAGTCAGGGTCTTGACCACAATGGCAGGGAGGTCTCACTGGGGCTCATAGTCGAATGCTGCTTCCTGAAAACAGTGACAAAACAACTTTGTGAGAGTGCAAAGCTGAGTTTGTTCTGATCGCAGGAAGGGAAAACATGACTGTGCCTAGTCATAGTAGCATCTAGATTGGGAGGGCCACATCTGGATATTTATGAAGCATTGGGTCTATTTTAAGTCCCAATGAGGGGCTTGACTGGGACTCAGCAAGAATCACAATACAATAGCTGGGTATTGGGATTGGTTAGATGTAGTCTATTGAAAAGTTGCCAAGTTCTTCAAAAAGGTTGCTTCTTGGGGTACCTGGGTGGTTCCCTCTGGTTAAGCATCTGCCTTTGACTCAGGTCATGATCCCAGGGTCCTCCTGCTCAGCGTGGAGCCCGCTTCTCCCTCTCCCTCTGCTTCTCCCCCCTGCTTGCTCTCTCCCCTACTCTATCTCAAATAAATAAATAAAATCTTGAAAAAGAAAAGAAAAGTTAGGTTACTTCTTGAGGGGCACCTGACTGGCTCAGTTGGTAGAATTTGCAACTCTTGATCTTGGGGTTATGAGTTCAAGCCCCACATTGGGTGTCGAGATTACTTTAAAAAAAAAAAAAAAGGTTACTTCTTGAAATTTCTGCAAAAAACAATAGCTGTTTACAGCTTTTCTCACCCCAGGCAAGCGTTTCCTACACTCAAAAACTCATGTCAATGTCAACAGCAGGCCGAGTGCAGGTGGTTTGGATTCTTCCTGGGTACTGATGTAAAGAAGTATTCTGTGTGATTGTTCCCACATTCCCTCACTTCATCAGATCGCTCTGATTTATACTCATTGTGATAGTGCTGGGCGTAATTAGACCATCCAGAGGTGGAGACATCCCCTCCCTACTCCTACTTCCCTCTTCTCTCAGACTCTTGTATTTGCTATTCAGGAGACCCCAGAGCCCTGTGTTCCCAACAGGAACCCTGAAAACCCTAAATTTGAATATAATGAAAACTTTTCTTCATAGCTATCAGCCCTTTCATGGACTCAGATCATCTGGTTGTGGGATGGAGAGCCTGCCCTGCCTTCCGTAGTCCCATGGCGCACAGTCCTTCCACTTGGAAATTGGTTTTCACTTATGATGATGGTTGTTGGCTCATGGCATTTCTGGCCCATGCTCTCTCACATCTTAATGATTAGTACTGTAGACTGACCAGCCAAACCAGCCCTCCTAGGATGTTGCCATGAAAGCTCTGCTGGCTGTAGGGTCAGTCTTTCCCTTTGACAGCTGCCAGAAAAGTGCAGGTAACCATTAGGAGAGGGGAAAGGCCCTTATAAAGGCGAGCTTCAGGGGTGCCTGGGTGGGTCAGTTGGTTAAGCGGCTGCCTTCAGCTCAGGTCATGATCCTGGGGTCCTGGGATCAGGTCCCACATCAGGCTCCCTGCTCAGCAAGGAGCCTGCTTCTCCCTCTCCCTCTGCCTGCTGCTCTGCCTACTTGTGCTCTCTATCTCTCTGTCAAATAAATAAATGAAATCTTTAAAAAATTGAAATTAAAATTAAAAAAATTAAAGGCGAGCTTCAAAAACCATGATTTCTTTATGCTTGGCATAATGGGTACTCGGTGATTATTTATGATATTAATTTTAGAATCCTAGAATATTAAGAAGTTTTCTCAGGCCTGGGAGAGGAGAGCCCTGGGATGTCTTCTAGCCCTGCCCCTTCTCCATTGCATGATTGCAATACTAGCACCTTCTCCGTGCACCGACTTCCCTCCCACCCCCTGGGTCCCTTCTGTTCCCTGGGGTCCCAGATGACTCCTGCTTCTCCTCGGTGCCTTCTGTGTCTTTTTGCAGGACTGCCACAATGGGTACCCACCCCAGAGTGGGGCCCCATACTTTCTCCTAGCCTTTGCCCGTGCTGGTTCTCTGCCTGGATACTGCTATCTTGGAGGTGAGAAGTCAGCCCAACCCAGGAGCCCTCAGAGCCTTTCAGCTCATGTTAGCTGGTCTAATTTTAAGTTCCACCACTCCTAAAACCAACCTGAGTGTATGCCCTTCAACAATTATAGCAGTTCTGGGCCTTAAAATGTAGCTTTGCTCTATCTCCTATTCAAATCCTTCTTTCTTTTTTAAAAAGTTGTTTATTTGTTTGTTTGTTTGTTTAGTAATCTCTGCGCCCAACCCTGGGCTCAAACTCACAACCCTGAGATCAGGAGTCACATGCTCCACCTGCTAAGCCAGCCAGGTGCCCCCTTACTTTCTTTTCTACCTTTTTAAAAACATTTTTGTTGCGAAAAATAACACAGTTGAAGGAAAGTAGATAAAGCATAATTATTATGAAGCACTTCCATTAACTACCATCTGGAAAAAAGTAGGGTTTTACCAGCATCCCAGAGGGCCCCCAGTATATCCCTTCCCAAATACAACCCTGTTCTTTCTAAATGTAACTGCTGGCTTTTTATGGTAATTACTCCATTGCTTTCTTTGACAGTTACTTTTGTTCTTTTATGGTAATTACTTTCATTGCTTATTCCCAGCTTCCCTCTTCCCTCCCTCTTTCTTTCTTTCCCTCTCTTTTTTATTTTTTTTTTAAGATTTTATTTATTTATTTATTTGACATAAATGTTCTCCAAGAGAGGGAGGACAATCAGGGGCAGATAGAGAGGGAGAAGCAGACTTCCCGCTGAGCAGGAAGCCCGATGCTGGGTTCGATCCCAGGACTCTGGGATCTTGACCTGAGCCTAAGGCCGATGCTTAAGGACTGAACCACCCAGGTGCCCCTTCTCTCTTTCTTTCTTATTGAAGTATAATGACATACAGTGTTATAAAACTTTTGGTGTACAATGTGTTGATTTTACTCCATCGTCTGATAAAGGATATCCGATTTAGAAAAATCCTTTTAATACTAGTTGGTTAAAAGTTTTATGTTGTTTTTTTTTTTTAATGATGATTGAAGTTGAATTTTATGAATTATTTTTCTATTTATTGAGCAGTCATATCATTTTTCTCCTTCAAATTTACTTATATGAAGAACGCTTTTGATTTTCCAGTGTTGAAGCATCCTTGTATTTCTAGAATAAGATCAACTTAGTTGTATCTGTTTCCTGTTGCTTCTGTAACAAATTCCCAAATACATAGTATCTTTAAATACCACACCTTAATTATCTTACCATTCTTGAGGTCAGAAGTCCAAAGTGGGTCTTGAGGGCTAAATCAAGGTATTGGCAGAGCTGTGGTTTTCCTAGAGCTCTAGGGGAGAGTATGTTTCCTTGCCTTTCCCTGTTTCTAGAGACCAGCTGCATTCCTTGCCTGGTGGTCCCTTCCTCCATCTTCAGAGTGAATCACTCCAATCTCTGCTTCCATGGACACCACTCTCCAACTCTGACCCTCCTGCTTCCCTCTTATGAGCACTCTTATGGAAATTAAGAAAAGCTTCTTAATTGGGCTCTATTCAGGATAATCTGCCCATGTGAGAGGCCTTAATTCAGTCACGTTTTCGAAGTCCCTTTTGCACGTATGATGACATTTTCACAGGTTTTGAGGATTAGGATGTAAACATCTTTGGGAGCCGTCATACTGTCCGCCACATTGGTTATAACATATTTTCCTTTTTATATGTTGCTTGATACAATATTTTACTTAGAATTTTTGTATCTGTGTTCGAGAGTGAGATTTGGCTAAATTTCTCTTCTGAAACTACCTTCACTGGCTTTTGGTATCATAGTTAAGCTATCCATATAAATGAATTGGCATGTATACTATTTGTTTGCTATCCTCCAAAGTGTTTGTATACAGTAAGCATTATTTTCCCCTTAGCTATTCAAAGTTTTTAAAGTACTGATTCAACCTATTTAAAAATTATAGGACTTAAAGTTTCTGTTTCTTCCTAGATCAATTTTAAGTAAGTTGTATTTTTCTAGAACTATATTCATTCCATCTAACTTCTCATATTTTAAACAAAAATTATTCATAAAATCCTCTTATCTTTTTAGTGCTTATAGAATGTATAGTGGTATCTGCTTTTTTCATTCCTGGCTCTGGTTATTTGTACATTCTCTCTCTTTAGTTTTTTTCTCTTTTTAATTTTCTTGATAATTTCCAAGGATTTATCAATTTTATTGGTCTCTTCAAAGACCCAGACTTTGGTTTTGTTGATCTTTTCTATGGCACATTCTTTTCCATTTCTTTAATGCTATTATCCTTTTTATTTCATTTATTTTACTATATTTGGGTTTCTTTGGTACTTTTTTGTTGTTGTTAAGATTTATTTATTTATTAGAGAGAGAGAGAGAGAGCACACACAGAGGGAAGGAGCAGAAGGAGAGGGGAGAGATAAAGCTAAGCAGACTCCATGCAGAGTGCAGAGCCTGATGTAGGGCTTGATCCTACAACCCTGAGATCACAACCTGAGCTGAAACCAAGAGTCAGATGCTTAACTGTGCCACGCAGGTGCCCCTTCCTTTGGACTTCTATAAGAGTCAGAACAGGTTCGGTTATGTTGCAATAACAAACAATCCAGAAAAAAACAAAAACAAAAACAAAAAACCTCGGGCATTTCTATAACATAGTTTATTTCTCAGTCATTCTAACTGTTCTGTCCAGGTTGGCTGGCTTCTTCTCCACATTGTCTCTACCTTGGGGCTTGAGCTGTCAGAACAGCCACTTTCCAGAACACTGACAGTCATCATGCCTGAGGGAAAAGAGACAGTATGGTGAACTAGATGTTAAATCTTAAAACTTTTGTCTAGATGTGACACATCACAGTCCTGTATGAATTCCATTGACTAGAACAAGAAATAGAGCTAAGCTTGATGTTGATGCCCAGAGTTGGGTTTGTGAATCTTTGTGAATAGTAATATAGTATCCCATGTCTTCTTTTTCTAACTTTTTGAGATTGAATCTTAGCTCATGCATTTTAGATCTTTCTTACCTTGTAATATATATACATTTAAGGCTGTAAATCTCCCTTTTGTCACCTATATCCCATGGGAATTGATACATTAAAAACTTTGTTAACATTTGGTTCAAAATATTTTCTAATTTCCTTTGTAATACTTTATTTGACCTGTGTTATTTAGAAGTATTTCTTAATTTCCAAATAAATGTGGAGTTTTCTAAGTTAGTTTTTTTTCTCGTAATTTCATTGTATCAGAGAATATATTTTATATAATTTTAAGTCTTAGACTTCTTTTTGACCTCAGTTTTGACCACAGATCTTGGGAAGAGGATCTCAAGCCTCAGATGAGACCCGAGCCCTACCAAAACCTTGATTTCAGCCTTATGAGACTCTGAGCAGTGAGCCTACTTGATCCTACATGGACTTCTGATTTACACAACAGAAAAATAAATGGGTATTGTTTTAAGCTGCTAAGTTTGTAGTAATTTATTACATAGGAACAGAAAATTAAAACAATGTTTCATGCTAATGAATATATCACTCTTTCTTCCTTCCTTTCTTTCTTTCTTTCTTTCTTTCTTTCTTTCTTTCTGTCCAAAGATGTCTTCTTATGTTTGTATGTGAAGATTTTAGCTGGATGTAGAATTTTCGACTAGCAGTTTACTTTTAGCCTTTTAAGATACTGCACTGCTTTCTGGTTTCCACTGTTGCTGTTGAGAAGTCACTGTCTGTCTAGCTGTTGCTTCTTTGAAAACAATATTTTTCCTCCTCTGCCTGTCTTTAATCTTGTTTCTTTTCCTTTTGTTTTCTGCAGATTTATTTTAATGTGTCAAGAGTAGATTTCCTATGATTAGTTTTGCATGGGATTCGTTGTTCTTTGTGATTCTGAACTTAAAGTCTTTCATCAGCTGTGGAAAATTATTTTATCTCTTCAAATATTGTCTCAGCTCATTCTCTTTTCTGGGACTCCAACTAAATAAAAGTAAGATCTTCTCACTGTATTCTCTGTATCTCTTACCCTTGCTTTTGGATTTTCTGTGTTGTCGCTCTTCATTTTAGATCATTGCCTTAGCCATATTTTCTTTACCTTTCTTTTTAAGATTTATTTATTTTAGAGAAAGAGCACATGAGCAGGGGGAGGAACAGAAGGAGAGGAAGAGATTCCTCAAGCAGACTACCCACCGAGCACAGAGCCAGAAGCGAGGTCATGACCTGAGCTGAAATCAAAAGTGGGACACTCAACCAACTGAACCACCCACATGCCCCATCCTCTGCCAGATTTTCTAAATCATTGACTCTCTCTTCTCATGCATCTAAACTGTTGAACCCATCTCTTGAGTTTTTAACATCTCTTACTGTATTTCTCCATTCTCAAGTTCTATTTGATTCTTTAAATAATCTGCCATTTTATCACAGAGAGAAGTCTTCCTTGACTTCCCACATCCTCACCACAGGCCTGTTCGCATGCGCCTGTCACCATGTGCTTCCACAGCAACCCGAGCTCTAACCAGACTTACTGTATTCTCTTACCTTCTCTCCTGAAAGTATCTTGAGGATGGTAGATATCATCTACTCTGTATCTCCGGCATTTCACACTGTACCTGAATAACAGCACTCAGTAATTATGATGAACTTTAACTAAAACAGCCTCCCTGACCACCTAACCCTGAACCCACTCTGAGAAGATGGAAGACCTTCGGGAAAGTCTCCACAACTCACAAATGTTCTTTGTGTGAGGAGAGTCTCCTGAAGAGGGAATGCTAAGAGATGCTCATTTCTGTATCCAGGCTGATGGGGAGAAAAGTGGCAAGCAAGACAGACTCAGAAAAAAGAGGCTGGGGAGAACTCAGGGGGGTGAGTCTCTGAGAATGAGCACAAGTTACTGGGCAAGCTCAACTTTTCTGGGCTGTGGAATTGGCTGGGTCTAATCCCATTACACCCAGACCTCCAAGGAATGAGGAGCTCCTAGCCAACATCTGGGTGGCGCTGCTATAGGGTATCTAGAAACTCAAGGCAGAATGGCTTTTAAAAAAGGAATGTTGTACAACCAGTATGCTGAATATGCAGGATTTATGAGTTGTATCCACCAAAGCCACTTTATTTTTGTCTTCCACTGCTTTTAATCCCTTCCAGTGAGGGATAGGATGGTCTTTTCCAAGATGGTATATAAAAATCCTGCCAAGCTCATAAATTTTTCTTGGCACCCTTAGGTAAACATTGGGGGGTCACTTTAAGTCATAAATGCAGCCTTAATTAAATAATTAAAAGGGTCCAGCCCAATATACTAACCAATATTTAAATCTTCACTCAAAGATAAGATTTCTCTCCTACTCCCCCAAAGCTAGGGCCTATGTCAGGAGGGCTGTGGGCAGCTGGGATGGAGCTGTGTTTAGCTTCTCCTCTTACTTCTTCTTCCTCTTGCTGCTATTTCTGGCCCTTTCCCCTCCCCCCTTCCCCCTTTCCCCCTCCCCCCTCCTTTTTTTAAAGATTTCTTTTATTTAAGAGAGGGAGAGTGAGCAAGCGAGAGAGAGAGCACTAACAGAGGGAGCAGCAGAGGGAGAGGGAGAAGCAGGCTTCCCGCGGAGCAGGAAGCCCAGTGCTGCATTCAGTCCCAGGACCCTGGGATCATGACCTGAGCCGAAGGCAGATGCTTAACCAACCAGGAACCTCCATTTCTGGCCTTTAAGGTTGAAGTGGGGAAAGGAGGAGAGGGAAGGGGGATAGTCCTGGTGAAATGGCTTTGTGGGGCCTATACCTTGGGACCCGTAGACCATAGGTCCCTGGCAGACATTGAAAGCTGATCTTGGGGGGTTTCCCTGAGGTCCTGGGAGACTCCTCTGCTGGGCTTCTCTGACCCAGTTCCTTCATCTTCAGCAGGGATCCCCTGACCCCCGCCTCACTCCTTACAGCCTCAATTGTAGCACCTGTCACCCAGCCTTTCACTGCTGGGACCCCTTGTCCTCACTGGCCACTCTTGGTTGGGCTCCACCCCTGCCTCCTCCTTACCTGGTCCCCAGGACTTCTGTCTCATTTGACCTGCATGTAGAGAGTTGAGCAGTTTTCACCCAGGCCATTTTCTCTCAGCCAAGGCTACTTAGTCTTCCAGAACCAGCCAGCACCAGGCCATTGTCTATGTCTTCCTGCAGTGACCACACCTCAAGCTGCCTGAGTGGTCCCTCCCCTTGAAGGCTCTCTCACAAGACTGGAGGGTGGTGGGGGGCACAGATGACCCTGCACATTTTCCTAGGGAAGTCCTCCTCACAAAATCCTCCCTGAATCTCCCCTCTTCTGACTCTTGTATTTCCCCTCTCTGAGTGAGGAACGCCCTGGGTCGAGGACCAAGACACAGCTAACCAGATTTTGAAGATGGCCTTTGAGATCTTTGTGGTCTGCTCACACCTTGCTTTGATGCTCAATAACTATCATATCTTGACATTTCAATCAAAACCCTACTTAACATCCTGTTCGACTGGTTTTTAATCAGAATGAAACATCATTATTGTTTTTTTCTGATTATGAAATTAAGGCACACTACTTATAAAATTAAACCAAAACACAAATGTAAAAGACAGTTGTAGCCCAGCGCAATTTTACCTCCCACAGATAATTCAAAGCTAAGACTTTGCTTTATATCTTTCCCGACTTTTTTTCTTTGACACACTTTGACACATGTGCACTTTTATTTTATTTTTTTAAAAGATTTTATTTATTTATTTGAGAGAGAGAACACAAGTGGGGAGAGGGTCAGAGAGCGGGGGGGTGGGAGAGAGAAGCAGACTCCTCACTGGGCAGGGAGCCTAATGCAGGGCTTGATCCCAGGATCCTGGGATCATGACCTGAGATGAAGGCAGACACTTAACCAACTGAGCTACACAGATGTCCCTTTCACTTTTGTTTTAATAGTGGAAATGGGATTGTACTGTAGGTGAACTCCAGAGAGCCTTTTCCCTACTGCCATAGGATATGTTAGCCCTCCCATCCCTTATGTACCTAAACTTATGTTGAAGTAGAAGAATTGATGAGAGCCTGGGCAATTACCTTTGTAGACTGAGTATCTAAATGGTCAGTTTAGATATTGAATTAAACTGGGTTTTAGTCGGGTGGACTAAATTTAGTTTCCTCTCTCCTCCCATCGGGACGGGTGCTTTAAAGGAAAGAAGATCAGTCAAAGAAAATTCAAGGGCTATATTTATTTCACATGAAGAGTACTATGTATGTTACAAATGAAATTGATAGGTTGGTGGGTGTTTTCAAGGCTTTTGATCTACATTTCCACTGTGCATCAGAAGACATTTTTCCCTATATGTATTTTCATAACACTGGATATTTAAATTTTTGCCTCACAGGCCAGAAATAATAATTAAGCCTTTCCTTGTTTTTTAATAAGGTTGAGCATATTTTGCATTAGGATAGAACATTTACTCATCGCCATGGCTCCCTTTGCTCAAGTGTCCATTTTGATATCCAGATAAAATCTTAGTGAGTTTTGCCCAGGCTTAGGTTTTAAAGAACTCAGGCTAAAACAAATGGGCTCCAGAGTGGACTGAAAGAGGCCTATCCCTTTCCCGGGCCGCAGGGCATAGTTGGCCCTAGGAAAGTAAAGGTGGAAGGAGATGCTTCCCAGGGGACTCCTGGAGCCCACCATCCGTGCTGCTTTAGGCCTGATCTGTCACCTTCCCCGTGTTCACAGAATCTCGATCACTCCCTCATACCCCCAAAGCCACATTGCATGCCCTGTCTCTGTAGACACTAGTGACCACAGACCAAAGCTTTTGTCCCAAGTGAAGACAGGCTACCCATGGACCAATTAATTAGCTGTTACAGATAGCTTGGCACTAAAAGATGGGTTCAATGAGAGCCCATCCCCATTTCTGGGGATTGCAACTAAGAAAATTGGAAAGAATGTGTTTGTAAGCAGTGGGAATAAAGTTGTAAAGATAACAAGATAATGAATTGAGCCTGGGGCAAGCCTAGGCCAGGCTCAGTCCTCAGAGAGAGAAGGATGTGCAGAGTCAAGGATCTATTCCCCTCCACACAGGGCTCTCTCCCAGGCCTTCACTGCTGCCTCCCACAACTAAGGCTGCAGCCCCCATGCCTGGCTCTGAGAGCTTGCAGCCCTCCAGCCCCCTGCTGCCTGCTCCCTGCAAGCCTGCAGCACCTTCAGCTCTGCCCCACACCTCCATTTACCTTGTGCATGGCCCCAGCAGTCACACACATGTTGTGCGCGCCCACTGCCATTTTTAGCTGCAGATAGAAGATGCTCCTGATAGACTCTGGATTGGGCTAGTCAAGCCGCTCAGAACATCAGGGGAAATTATAAAGGATAAAGGGTGTGTGAGCTTTTTCAGAAATGTTTTGAGCACATACGGAGCAAATTTATAGGAGCTTGCAAGAAAAAGAAGACAAAGTGTTTTATACTAAATCCTCTCCTTGAACTTGGAAGGACGAGGGCTGTTTGCTTTAGGCCCGATCT